CTACTTACTGCAGGACCAAGCGCCACGCCGTCCGAAGCGGTAATGAGCAGAAGCGCGACAGAAGCGCTGTTTTATATCTTTTCAGAACGATGTGCAACCAAGTGGTATTCGATTATGATGACTGGGTTTGGGAAAAAACGCTTATTTCATGAAAACAGTGATAAAATTATCATTTGCACATTTTTCAAAAGTTTTATTGGGGAAAATTGGAAAATATTTATTTCACCAGGTTTGTAATGTAATATCCTATCGATTGGCGTATTTGGATTTAAATTTCATCTATAAATGACAAAGTTACAAGCGTTCAAAACCTAACACTATTTCACCAAACATATTTTTTGTTTTGCACCCCAGTAAAGTCGACAAAGACGTAGTTCTACGTGAAAAGTAAAAAAGCCAGGATATTGGAACCAATGGATTATTAAAATTTCGGACTTGAAAAAAATTTACCCTCGTCAATCTGTTTAAGAATTGAAATATCTCGTTTTTCCCGGTTGTCTAACATAGTTTTCCCGGATTAATTGAAACAGTTCAATATGCTAGAATACCCCATGTAACATCACAAGTTTTATCGCATGTAAAACCAAAATTCTTACTTGAAGCATAGATTAGGTCAAAATACGTTATCCTCAATGGAATTAATAAGTGAAATGAAAAGAAATAACAATGAGGATTTTTAACAAATTCCAGTAAGATGATTTGAGTATGCAAAGCAAAATTTTAAGAGAAGTTCTTGAAAAAAAAAAATGCTGAGAATTTCTAGATATTTCTGTTTAGATTTTGAAGACAATTCTGAGATGAACTCCAAGGAATTTCTAAGCAATAATCGAATAATAAATTTCCAAACGGGTAACTTTTAAAGATAATTAGGGTAGAGCACTACTTCGTCATAATCGCCCATTTCAGTTCTTTCGATCAGAACAGATCAATAATATCAATGGTTTCACCATGCACAAATCAATGATAGGTTTGTTCCGATGCGTTAGTTCATTAGCTACAACATAAAACCTATTAGAACGCATTGTATGAATATTTACGCTCATTGTTCTGAAAAAAAAGAAGCGCTCCTAGCAAACCCCCTTTTTCAACGTTTATCCGTAGGACGAAGAAAATCTAATGGCGTTTCAATACGTTAGGACGGAATTGAAACTCGTAGAACGAATTTAGCATCAAGATGCTGTATTAGATTTTAAACAATCCCCCTTATTCTGCGAGTCACGTGACTCTCTGTCACCGGTGAGGTGACAATTGTCACCTCGTGTGAGGTGACTCTCCATGTAAATCAAATGGAGAGTCACCTCACACGAGGTGACTATTGTCGCCTCACCGGTGAGAGAGAGTCACGTGACTCGCAGAATAGGGGGGAATCTCTCAACAATTCGTGACTATTTATCAAATCCAACGGTACATATGGAAAGATGAATAAATTTAGAAGTCATTTGTAATAGAAATATTCCATTTTTTGTAGAAACTTGCTCAGAAAAGAGAGGTAAAGCGCGGGTTGTGCTTAGTAGCATGCAGTTTTGGTTACGCAATTCTCATTTGCCAATAACTTTGCACACAGTTGACGAAACATAGTTCTTTTTAAAGCATTAGATAGAAAAGAGTTTAAGCTTGTTATAGATACGTTAAAAAGTAGAGATTTTAATTCTAGTAATAAACTGTATTTGTTTTTGCGTTGTAAAAATGAAGTGAGAAATCCTCGCTGCACATCTCGGACTTTAAGTGTAAAAATTAATTGGTTCAAATGTTAAGATTCACCCACTTTTTGCATATCTATAGTAAAATATGGTCCTAATTTAACAATTACTTTAAAGAAAACAAAATTTCAACAACTGAGTGAAATGTTATTAACAAATGAGCAGTTGGTGTGTACAACTGTGCATGCCAAGCATGCTTAGTAGGACGTAAATTAGATCAAAAACCATATTTATTAATAATAATTAGATAATTATAGATTGAAATCAAAGAATTTCCTAGTTGGGATTCTAAAAATGGTATACAGAGAATTTTATTTATTTATTTCGTCAAGCAAAATTAGACCTGATCTTCTTTAAAGGCTCTTAGGTAAAAACATTGCAATGGAATGCCAGAGACAATACAGTAACCAATTACGCTGATTGTGTGTGTGTGTCATTAGTGTCAACCCTAAACTAGTTATCTACAGCTCTATTTGTTGAAGGACAGCCGAGAAATAGCGGTGGGTTTACGGTAACACCTATCGCATGTACGGAAGGGTTACTGTAATTAAATCAAGGGGAAAGCAAATCTGAAGACAAATTGGGATGACTCTGATGAAATTCTCCAAAAATTTCAATGATATCCAATGAAGCGTTATCTTCCAGCTATATATGTAATATAGACATTGAAAATTTATTAAGGGATTCCGTCATGGAAATTCCAAAATCAGAATAGGGCCTAGGTTTTACAATTCTGAGACTTCGAATAGTTGTCAAATAAAAAATGAAACGAAAAGCGTTCAAAGCAATTATAAAAAGGGCAGTCAAATAAGAAGCGTTTTACTAGCATTGCTTAAACTTTTTTATAGACTCATCCTATGAAGCCCAAAACTATACTGATGAACCTTGAATAATTGATCAACTAACAGCCAAATTTTGATGCACTTTCAAAAAAGTTACAGCTTTTTGAACTTTTTTTTTTACTTTTAAATTTTAAAGATTCTTTTGCATTTGAAAAAATGTCTTTAACCTTAAGATGATTCCTTGCAGAAAACATCGCAATTTACCAAATGAACATATTAAGGATTTTGTGAATGCACGTAGTTGCAACTGCTGCTAGTTGTTTGCTGCGGAGAAGCAAGCAATGTCTTAAATTTACAGATTTATAAAACTTTGCGAAGTGTGATAAGAAAAAGGACTCTACAATACAAGGTAGTTAGCACTATTGGCATTGGACATTTTTCCATCATTTTTATAATTTGCCAAAGGCTAGCTTTGTGCTGTGTGCCGGCATTTATAAAAAACTTTTTTTTTCCTAAAGTAAACTGAATCATATTTACAGAAATGTTGCTCATTTATGTTTCTCATTTTTTACCTCAAATTTAGCCAAAATTGATTCATCATTAACATAGATCAGTAGGTATCCAAAATTGGATCCACCCTTATAAAGAAATCCACCGAACGACCTATTGCGGCTCAAGTTAATGAGAACACTTTTAATATCCTCCAATAATATTTATACAAGGAAGCCTTCAATTTGACTAGCAGTAACAGAATGACGCCACTTCTACTGCAACCATCCAGTGGAATGGATTCATTTCTGTTTCTTGTCCGCGCTGGGAAATATTTTCTTGCAACACCATTCCAGTACAACCGAAACGCAAAACGCTTCGTGATCTGCCCAATTGTTGAACGATATTCTGCGCTGTTGTGGATCTTCTATATGCTTACTGTTATCGTTACCAGCTACAGTAATCTTTTCGAGGCACGAGCCAACTTTCAAACCGTGTCAAACGCCAATACTCTGATTATAGCGATTGTTGCCACCTATTTGGCATACCTGAATGTCTATTGGCACATGGTGAACTACTGGAAACGCCACCAGGCCGTGAAAGTTTTGAACGATGTGGTTGAATTGGCAAAACAGTGCGGCCTTTCAGCAATCGATCCGGCAAAAAAAAAGAGCATCTACTTTATATTAATTTTTATTTTTGATTACTTGATACTGCTCATAACCTATGCAGCTGTATTCATTAGTAGACGATACTGGTTCGGAATAGTACCAACCCTTCTGTATGTGTACTATATGTGTTCCATGTGTGTAGCGTGCTTATATTTGAGTTTGCTGCTCCTACTCATGATTAAAGTTTTCAAACATTGGAGGAAGCAAACGGGGACTGCAATTAGCAATGGTATTCCTTCTGCTTGTTTGATAAGGCTTATAAAACAAGAAGGCCAAATCAGATTAGTTGTTAAGAAACTAATTTCGGTACACACAAACACGATTATCTGTGTACTCAATGTCACGGTGGTCTTCACGTCGAGCAATGGCTTTTACATATACTCGGTATGGCAAGATAAAAATGAATTTAATGGAATTGTACAAATTATCTTTCTGATTGGGTTGGTAATGTGGATGGCAGCATTTTGTTCTTGCTCGTGGCAAATATGCAACGCGTGTCATAAACTTAGCGAACAGGTTAATTCCCTTCCTACACTTTGCTATAACAAAAGACTAAAGTAAACCTTATTTTTCTGTCTATTATTATCTTGCAGGCAAACGAGACGGCTCTATGCACCAGGCACTTCGACGACTACAGTATGAAGAATACAAAGGTAGCCAAGCAGATAAATAAGTTTCTACTGAAAAACTTGCACCAGAAGAAAAAATTTTCCGCATACGGATTTTTCGACATCGATAACAGTGTGATTTATACGGTAAAACTGTCTGATCTTCCCCAAGCTCACGGCGAACAATAGTCCCAGATAACCATGCACTCATTCTCTAATCTTTTGGCAGGTATTTAGCTCCATCATCACCTATCTCGTGATACTGATACAGTTCAAACAACTGGAGAACGATCTGACGCAAGGCAACACAAACGGGTCGGTGACAGCGGGTACCTAAATTACACGAAAACCTTATCGCAACATTGTATGAAATGTACGCAAAAATCTCTGTAGTAAAAAAAAAAATTGTTTCACGTTGTGTACGAATGGCGTTCAATTAGGCAACTTGAGGTCGCAAAAAGAAAAACGTGCCCCATTTGTCACATGAGCCACTCCTCCTAAAATAAATGTGTCTGCCAAGTCCGGACATAGCACAATGGTGATAAGACCGCTTTGATTAGACTAACAGTTAGTATTTTCCAAAGCACTGAAAACCAAGGTCAAATCCGCATAATAAAAAAAAAATGCGCAGGAAAAGACGACTCATCGTGATTCCTTGAAGCACGTGTCTTATCAGCTCCAAGAAGGGATGAGTGAGCGCCAAAGGAGACTCTCTATGAATTACAGTGCAAACAGTATTTTACCACTTACCGTATCTACAATGTTATTAGCACCGAGCGCTTTGTTCACGTAGAACCGACGCCATTTTTTGTACTCAGCCTTTATAACGTTGCACTTTCGCTTCCAATATTTTCCTTCGAGTAAAATTGCCTGGAAATGGAAATGGGAAGAACAACAGTTATTGACGGGGTGACCAGAAAGGTGTGACCAGTCGCTCATTACCTGAGGCGTGTTGTGTACGTCTACGTCTAATGGAGATGCAAACTGGCAGACTAGAGTTTTCCGTTTCATAATAACTGTAAAGGAGAAAGAAGTTTAAAGTTGAAAATGTGTGTAAATGTTGAAATTAATTTTGTGTTGCGTATAAATGTTTAAGTATCATGATCGTGCAAGTAAACTATGGGAATGTTTGTTACACTTATTCCGAAAATCCGGTAAAATTTTATCCAAATCCGAAAGTTGACCGAAAACCCGAAAAAAAATATTTTATATTCAGAAACCCCGAAAGTTGAACCAAATAGAACGTATAAAGAAAACATTTAATTTTCATGCTTTCTCATACACAGCCGAAGAGATCGACTCAAAATTAAGTGGTTTTTCACTCAAAATTGGAAAAACGTAAGTCACTCATAGACTGCGTAAAATCTTCCTAGCTTTTCCTCAAAAATCTACTCGAATATGAGGGAAATTTACGAACATCTTACTTAGTATAGGAGTATACTAAGAGATTGAGTGATACCTCTCTCTTTTTTCCTCATATTAAAAAATGTTTCCTAGAAAATCGGTGAAAATTTTACTCAATTGTGATTTTGTGTGAAACCCCGCTCAATTTTGAGTCGATCTCATCGGCCGCGTACACACGATAAGAGACAGACGCAATGTGATAGCGAATATGATAACTTAAGATTAACAGGCGTATAATGCTACTGGTTTTGTCCTAAGATTCCGGCATAGTTTGTAGTCTTCTTGATATGTTGCTCTTTAACTCTTTAGCAATTCCCTACGAATTCGCAAATCGGTTTATTTTTGTATTTTTTGATTTGATAGAAATTTTTCAGAAACGTTCCTTTTGACCGACTATGATATTTTGCATCTTTATATCGCCAATTTGAATCCAGCCTTATTTTTGAAAAGGGCCTATAGAAAAAGTATCAAGCTTATCTTCATAAATTTTTTACTCAAAAACTGTTTACCCGATCGGTTTGAGGTCTGGAGAAATGTTGCAGATAATGCACGAGATTATTTGAAAAAAAAGCATTCTAAAAAAATTACCCAATTTTTTTTTACTTCAAATAAAATTTTAAAAACATTTAAGGATTTTTTGTATTTTTTTATTTGTTGATATGTTTTAGGGGGCAAAAAATACCATCTATTGCACTATAGGTCAAGATAGAGAAATGTTGGACAAAAAAGTTATAGTTTAAAAAAAAAACAAGTTTCTGGAAAAAAAAACTTGATTTTTTTTCTGGAAAAGGGGGGCGACCCCGGCGTAGTGGTTAACATCCATACCTCTCACGCCAAAGTCACGAGTTCAAATCTCACCCCCGGACAAGTCACAAATGACCCAAGAGTGTTTAAGTGACTATAATAATAAAAAAAAAAGTTTCTGGAAAAATATCCAAAACTTGGTCCAATTACTTTTTTGACTTTATATACTGAAAGTACAACAAATTTACAATTAAAAAAAACACTCACGTATTTTTTTTATGTCGCACCGTTTTCGAGATGTAACGGTTGAAAGTAGATATTTTTAAAATGTTGGTAGTTTCTGGCCATTTCCAAATGTATTTCGCGGTTCTCCAGTTCCAAAAAAAAAATGTTCCAAAAGATCAGAAAATGTTGCAATGAAAATGCTCTTAGTGGCTCGTCAATATATTAAATGTCTTCTCAAATATAAAAATAAAGCAATGCAACCTTGTTTAAGGTATTAACTTGTTGCTAAAATGCTAACCTGCTACATATTGCTAAGCAATTCATGGTAACAAGTGGGTTGGTTTTGAATTACCTACGTCCATATATAAGCCAAATCTGACACTTAATCAACATTAGAATATAATTCGCTGTGCATCTATGAAAGTGACCTGCTTAAGTTCAGTAATTCAGAAGACGAAGTGGTAGTTAAAATGAATACTTTTCAACGAAAACGAACGAGAACGTGAACATCCGATAAAAAATGCAAGGGAACTATACGTTTGGGCTTAGAAGCGAAAAGAGGATCAGTTGACTCAAATTTTCTTTTGTTATGCAACTAATTAAAAATATGAAATTCATAAGCACGAGCTCAACGAACAATATTCAAGGGCTGTAACCATTCAAGGAACTCAAAATTATCACTAATTTATTCCTATTTCTGAAAGACAAATAGAAGTCAGACACTTTTCAAACTGTAATAGACGCATTTCGCGCCAAATCGTATTCGGAGCTGGCAGCACCCTCTCAGATTTCAATGAAACTTTCTGGATGTGTGGACCTTGACTAAATATGCCACTTTGCATACTTAGTTTTCCAAAAATTTATCTAGACTAACATTTGAGAAGGGCCAAACTTTTTCTGCCGATTTTTTTCAAAAAAATATTTTGGAAAAATGACAACTCCTACAAAAATGTGTTGTATGGATGACTTTTAGGAAATTATCCAAGTTATCGAAAAAAAAACTGGAAAAAATTTCATTTTCAGACAAAATTGAATCGCAAATTGAGCTCCATTGGATTCTGAGATGATTTTGAGCTTCACTGGTTTAGTTTTGTGTGAAAAAAGCAAATAAAAAAAAAATCAGTTCAGACATGAAAAAGTTTTTGTAAGAAAAGCTTTTTTTTTCCTTAAAAGTGCTCATCTCGCGATGTATGAACGGTTGGTAGTAAACATAATTACCTATCTTGAGGCAAAGTTTCATCCAAATCAAACATGGCCATTTTTTTTTAAATCGACCTCAAATTTTAAAAATCGATTTTTTTCAGTGTAGGTCTCAAATGAAATTTTTTCCAGTTTTTTTTTTCGATAACATGGACAATTTCCTAAAAGTCATCCATACAACACATATTTGTAGGAGTTGTAATTTTTCCATAATATTTTTTTGAAAAAAATCGGCAGAAAAAGTTTGGCCCTTCTCAAATGTTAGTCTAGATAAATTTTGGAAAAACTGAGTATGCAAAAGTGCTTATTTAGTCAAAGTCTACACATCCAGAAAATTTTATTGAAATCTGAGAGGGTGCTGCCAGCTTCGATTCGATTTGGCGCGAAATGCGTCATAATGAAAAGAAAATTGTTGATATTACTAAGAATTAAAGTATGGATTTCTATTACTACTATACCAATCCAACAATGTAAAAATAAATGAAATCATTCTCGAAAAATCGCAATTATATGTTCTTTGCATATGCTAACGAGCGAAATAGGGGAATTTACGTATTCTCGGCAACCTAAGCAGCGACCTTCTTTCTATAGCCTTTTTCTCTAAGGAACGGACACATATGCAGTATTGGTTTGTTTACAATCTTTTGCTGCCAGCTGCTCTAACAATTTCAGTCGAAAGAATTGTCAAAAACTGTTTTGAAACGCTTTTACAAAGCTCCAATCTTCTCTAGTGAGAGCGAGTATTGTCGGCAATCAGTTTTTCTTCGGCAACCGTTCCATTTGAACTGCATGTAAATCTGCTGTTCTATTATCGGCAACTCGAAATCAGCTACAATTTGTAGTGCGTGTGTTGCATTTCAAGAAAACCTTGCTAGATTGCTTTTTCTCAGTGGTAAAAATATAGTCAAATTGAAGCTGAAAGTATAAAGAATCGTTTGCATGCATTTACCGAAGTGTTTTCGTAAGAAAATCCAGTGAAAATAGTGTTTCAATTTGTGTTGCCGAAAATAGTCTGTCATGCCGAAGCCGTCATTTCCCCTATGTATTTTCAAGAAAATAAATTGTTTTAAAATACACATTTACACATTCCGGATAATTTAGATCATATCAATGAGCCACCAAGAGCATTTTAATTGTAAAATTTTCTGATCCTTCGGAAAAAAATATTTTCAGAACTGGAGAACCAAAATCAAAATAACCAAAAATTACCAACATTTTAAAAATATCTACTTTCAAACCGCTACATCAAACTTTATCTTTTTCTATATGCACTTTTCAAAAATAAGGCTGTATTCTAAATGGCGATATGAAGATGCAAAATGGCATTGCCGGTCGTAAGGAACGTTTCCGCAAATTTTCAACCAAATAAAAAAATACAAAATTAACGCATTTGCGAATTCGTGGGGTATTGCTCTCTTGTCTCTTTGCATACGAATCTTGCTCCTCTATTTTTTTTTTTCTTGATTTGTTTTCCGTCGATCTTTTTTTTCCGTACTGAGTACCAATGTTACCAACGCCAGGGAGGCAGCTCCCACACCTGGACCCTACCTATCGACCTATCAACCCATAGACCGGGGACCAACGACCTTACTTCTACTCCGAAGGAAGGCGTGATCAGAGATTTTATGCTTCAGAAAATCCCGACGGCGCACAGTGGCACGAATATGAATAAAGACGGTCAAAAATATTTTCTACCCTTTTTCGACGTTTTAGAGACTGGGTGTCTTGCGAGAAGTTGCTCAAAATTATATCTCGCATCTTTTGAAATACACACCTGAATAATCTTTAAGCTAGTATTACACATCAAAATTCTAACTTCTTCCAGTTAAGAGATAATGGTTCCATGTCTTGGACAAAGTTGTAGAGCAGTTGATTTTATGAACATTTGCTAAAGACACCAAATTTCTACATCATAACTCTGTAGAGCTATAATAGATTTTCTTTTAAGACTACCTTAATATTGGTTTTTTGAGTTAATTAGTGTTTTTTTCAAATTTGATCAATTTATCATGTTCTAAGAAATTGTTGGCATCATTAAAATATACAACTTTGCTGAATACACTAATGCTTTTCATTGACATCAATGTGATATACAGCCCATCAAGCGTTTTAGTGACGTCATATTCAACGGCTCAAAAAGAGAGTGGGCGGGCCTTGGCGGGGTCTTAAACTGGTTGTATTTTGAAGATTACCTTATAAAATAGTACTTCTGAAAATTTCAGCGGTGGGTACTGAGGGGTACCTAGCCAAATCTCGATTCGAAAATGTCACCATCAACATATGAGTATCAATATTGTCCCAACGCTAAAATTTTCAGAAGTACTATTTTATAAGGTAATCTTCAAAATACAACCAGTTTCAGACCCCGCCAGGGCCCACCCACCCTCTTTTCGAGCCGTTGAATATGACGTCACAAAAACGCTTGATGGACTGTATATCACAT